TGGCTGTAATTGAACTTATTATATTAACATGATAGTGCTTATTTACATCAGAGCGGGGGTATTACTAGTGAGCATTGGCTCACAGATTTCTTGTTTTATACAGGTTTCATTTGCAAGTAACTTTAAGCCCTATGTTGACCAAACTTGCATGGATGATACATCTTAGGATGCACACTAATGGACTTGTTTCAGATGCTGAATTCGACATACATTTTCCAGATAATAGACCTCGTAAAAGTTATGGGTGCAAGTCTATCACCAAGAAACTAAAGCTTATATAAACCAGTTGCACAAATGATGCATCAAGGGATGAAAACTCTCAATCTTTCTTCAGATGCTGGATTTTAATTACATTTTCATGATGTAGAACTGGTTTTTAGTTTTTATATAGGTCTATTCCAAAGTATCAAAATTGCATAAATTTTGCATTTTTGGATGTATACTTTTTGTTAGTTAATTTTGTGACGTAATTTGTCTTACTTAAAGACAACACACGTTGAAGTGAGCTCTGTAATCTCTGATTACCTATGTTTAGCTCTACTGGTCAGAGAGCTTATGCGATAGTAAGGTGTCCGTCGTCCGTCCTTCTGTCTGTCGGTCTGTCTGTAAACAATTTTTCAAAATGCTACTCCTCCTACAGTTTTCAGTATAACTTGGCACATTTATATGTAAATTACACTAAGATACATAAAATAGTGCATCGGTTTTTGATTTCAATGAAAGGTGTTGCCATGGTTACTAAAAATAAAATTTTCTATGAAATTCCTTTAAAATGCTACTCCTCCTCAATTTTGATGTGATTTCAATATTACTTGGCACACAAGTAGACTACACTAAGATACATAAAATAGTGCATCCGTTTTTGATTATGATGAATGGTGTTGCCATTGTTACTAAAAATAGAATTTTCTGTGAAATTCCTTCAAAACGCTTCTCCTCGTACAGTTGTGGTGTGATGTCAATATTACTTGGCACACAAGTAGACTAACTAAGATTCATTAAATAGTGCATCGGTTTTTAATTTCGATGAATGGTGTTGCCATGGTTACTAAAAATAGAAATGTCTGTGAAATTCCTTTAAAACCCTTCTCTTTCTACAGTTTTGGTCTAATGGCAATTGCTTCTTTTCTCATCCTTTGTTATAAGTACAAACCAGTAGAGCTACAGTCTCGACAGAGACTTCTGGTTTACAGAAAAAGCCTCAAATTTATGGAAGGGAATTACCGCCAAAAGTCTATGTATCTTGCTTTTATTCTTATTCTGCCTACTTCTTTATGCTTTGTTATTATTGTAATTATATGTCACTTTATTGTTTTCATATTCGTCTTTATTACATTCCACTTTGACTTTTATCATTCTTCATTTTGTCTTTACTTCTATGTTGCTTTATTCTTGTAAATTCATTTTACTTTCTTTTAAACTTAAACAGTTTCTTTAATAAATTATTAGCATTATCTCTACTGAGAATGTTAATTCAATCACGCTAACAATGAAGCATATTCAATGAAGACGAATGGAAGTTGTCAAACCGTCAAAATTTAGTGCGACATTATAACGCTAGGTGGCGTGGTGTTCGCTACGAGTGTTGGTAAAACTATATAAGAAAACCCGGGTCGGGTTATTTGAGATTCTTTAATACGCCTTAATACTTTATCAATCGAACTTCTGAAGGCCAGATCCGATCTCCCAATCCAATGATGGAAACTCCATATTTATTTTCTCTGGGCACACAGGAATAGCGGTTTCTTTTTTCAGACATAACTTTATTCTATACTATGTTCACTCAAAGGCCGACCCACTTTTTGTAAGAGTAAGGGTCAAATAAGTAAATGTAGTACGTATAGTAGGAAGAAAATTTAAATTTGATTCTATAGAAGTTGAATCTAACTCAAAACCCACCCCGCCCCCGAAATAGGATTTCATTGGCGTCGGAAGCTAATTGAAAGTTGGGGGGGGTAAATATATAAGAATTTTTTTAGACCTTCAAAAAAAAAAAAAACTGACAAGCAAAAGAAAAAAAAAAAGAAAAGAAATGTCCATTTTCCAAACACAAAAATCCTATTTCGTGAGGAGGGGTGGGGGTGGGTTGAAGGTTCGAACTCCACTGCCAAATTTTTTTTCCAAATACCACCACTTTCCCCATTTTATACCTTTACTGCATCGTGTCCATGGAAAGTGGGGGGGGGGGGGCTAAAGCTACGCATGAATGTTCAATGTCTATACTAAGTCTATCTTTGGAAAGAAGTGGGGGCTAAGCCCCCCCCCCTCCCCGGTACGAACGAACACCTAGGTATTTTCACGTTTGGACAATTTCCTGGGGTTTATTTTGCGCTTGTCAAGTTGTTTTCAGCCGGGTTGCTTGAATAGTTATTCTCTTGTTGCCCCCCTCCGCACTTTCAAAAACGATGCTACGTCACTGTTTTCTCGCTTTACTAAAGTTATTTCAAATTGTTGGATATATGAATTACAGTTTAATTGTTATAAAAATGTTAAAGATTTTGAAACTAGTTAACCCTTATAAATTGGGTTGTTTTTTCAGAACCTTCCACTGAACTGAACTTTATTTCAAGACAGATAGTAACTGCTGATGCGCGTGATTCTAGGGACAGGGCTTTGCAAAGGAGTGAGAAGCGTTAAGGGTAGGCAGGCGCGGATCCAGAATTTTTTTCCAGGGGGGGGGGGGGTTCCACCCAGTCAAAAAAAATCCAATCCCAGAAATTTCTTGACAAGCATAAAAAGAAGAAAAAAAAACCTAAACTTGTTCAAACGTCAAAATTCTATTTCATGGGGGGGGGGGGGGGGGGGGTAACTTTTGTCCTTGTTTTAGTAACCTTGTTAATTCCAAGGGGTCCTACCCCCCTCTAGATCCGCGCATGGGAGGCGAAGTTGGAACCAGACTACATGCACCCAGGCATACTAGAAACACCCCGGTCTTTTTTTTCTGCGTTAATATCTTATATTAAAATAGCACTTTTCAATAAAGAAAGAAATATCTTTAGTACGCACCGTGTTTGTCATCAACCAGGAGAGCTAAAAAAAATCTTAAAGCTCGAAAATTCTATTTGGTGATGGTGGAGGGGGGGGGGGTGTCGTCAACTTTTTGTCAGTAATAAATTTTACTCATATGCCACTAAGTACATGACTTTTAAGATATAAATTGACTATTAGTACTGCAAGAAAAAGTGCAAGGGATGGGGGCAACAAGCCTTTCGCTGAACTTTTCCAGTAGTAAAAACTTACGTTTAGGTAAATGTTTCGTGGCCACCATCCCCTCTACCGATGAAACTTACCCCATAGGAGGTCGTCCACCCGGAAGTCAGTATATATATATTGAGACTTTGGTGGTGTGATTGTACATTGTATAGTTTCTTTTTCGAGAATTTTCACTCAAATGGAGAAGCCACCTCTTGCCGGTGGAGAGCTGCAAATTTGTCCTATATACTAGTACTCGGCACTTATAGCCATTGAGCAGTGAGGGCCAGCACCTACTGCGACACGGGACCTCGGATAATACGGTCTAGATCTCATCCGAAGGACCGAACTCCACATCCTATAGTGGGATTCGAACCCACGACGTATTGGTCGACTCCTTACTTCTGTACTACGTAACTCTATATAGAGCAGACGCCGTAACCACAGTGCAACTCGGGCGACTGCATCCAAGGGGGGGGGGGGAGAGTCATCCATATGTACTCGTGAAGTTTATCTATGTTTAACTAAATGATTAAAATGATTTAATTATAAAACACTATTAAAATGATATTATTAAATATTTATTCATACAGAACCAGGGACCTATATATTAGTATATAGGTCCCTGATAGAACGGATAACTTTTCTTCAAAAATTGAAAACGTTAGTATATATAAACATTGTTTTACGATAAAGAAAAACTATTCGGGGTAGGGGTTGCTAGGAATGGGGGCAAATTGCTATGTATAGCGAGATTTCCCACAGAAGACTAGCTATATATTGAAACTTCCCCGAGGGAAGTCCCACTGTATAGTCTTCCGAAGGAAGCATCACTATGTAGTCATTCTTCCAGGGGAAATCTTACCATCTAGCGAGACTTCCGAGGGAATGGCATGTATCGGGTACATACCTGGACTTATAACAAACATCAGTCTTTTAAAAATTTAAGTTTGATTAATAAAATTGAAAAAACTCGGATAACCCCGGCCCGGGTTTGCTTACCTACTTTTACCAATACTCTTTGCGAACACCCCTGCCACCTAGCGTTATAATGCGGCACTAAATTCGGACAACTTGTATTCGTCTTCATTGAATATGCTTCATTGTTTGCGCGATTGAGTTAACGTTCGTAATAGTTATAATCATTTAAGAAGCTATATCAATTTAAAAGAAAGTAAAATGAATTTACAAGAATAAAGCAACATAGAAGTAAGGACAAAATGAAGAAGGATAAAAGTCAAAGTGAAATGTAATAAAGACGAATATGAAAACAATAAAGTGACATATAATTACAATAATAACAAAGCATAACGAAGTAGGCAGAATAAGAATAAAAGCAAGATACATAGACTTTTGGCGGTAATTCCCTTCCATACAAATTAGCCAATTTCAAGGACAATTTTCCTTTAGAAAACAGTGTCCACAGCCATTGCCCACTTTGATTTTTTGATATGTTGTGCAAAAAACAACAAAAAGTCATATATCTCAAAATCTTTGTGGGCAATGCCTGTGGACAATATTTTCTAAAAAAAAAAATTCAATTGAATATTGGTGTCTTCTGCAACTTTTGAAGAAAATACAGGGAAATGCCCATGTTTATGACATCACAATTTCCATTTAAAAAACACATTGGAGAAAAATTATGTGCATGATTTTTCTGCATGGAGTTTCAATGTTTCAGAAAGCATTAGTTTGTGTCTTTTACACAAGTTTCATTTTTTAGAAAATCACAGGGCAAGATCTGTATAGAAACCATACCTTGTCCTTTTGTCACTCTGTATCTTACATATTACATGTCTTGATTGTAGTGAAGAAGGAGCCATTTTGGATTTCTGATGCAGAAGAAGAAAACCAACAACTGTTGATAGTGAAGGTAAATATTTTTTTAGCTCTCTTCAATGAAGTTGGAGGTAGCTTAGGCCAAAATAATAAATAATCTTGCTTTCTGTCACTGGACCTACCCTACATTTTACCCTCCGACTCTAAAAGTTTTCATTACATTTTCATTTTTTGGGTATTTATTTTTCTAAAATACTGAAGTCAACCAATGATATTTACAGAATTAATACATCACAAGTGTACAGGATACCTTAACTTTATAAATCTTGATTAACAAACTTGCTTTGTAAACTGTTAACATATCATTTTCTTGTTATTATATGCTATATGTTCTGCATTCATTGAGTTTTGAAAATAATTTTTTTTCTCAAAGTAAATTTTTTTCCCTACCTACCGCCCCTAATTTTTTTGGTCAGGGGACATTAATCAAGAGTATATTTTCTTTTGGCCTTATGTGATACCCTCGTCATTGGCGTCCCAGAATAAAGATTTTGGTGAAGTTTTCTCTTTAAGTACTGCTTTGCCCTACATTAATCAGAGTGGCATGGCAGATGCCTTTAGTGTTTTTATTGTACTTGTCAATGTTTTAGATCCTGCAATTTCGGCAAAGGAATGACCAGATTGATGTTTTTGGTGCTGGTTATAGTTTTTTGTTACAGGCCTCATTTCCAAGTATCTATAAACCTTATGTTGACCAAACTTGCATGGATGATAATGTAAAGAGGAACACTGCTATGTTTTCTTTAATCATGTCAAATGCTGGATCTGACCTACATTTCTGGATGAGTGAATGGGTTGACGTTTTTGGAGCAGGTCACATTTCCAAGGAACTATAAGCTGAATGTAGACCAAACTTGCATGGATCATACATCTAAGAATGCATACCACATTGCTTGCTTCAGATGCTGGATCTGACCTTCTCTTTTAGACGCCGGGGCCATCCTTGAAAATCTTTTTTTTTTTGCGGTAAAGTGACCAACTCACCAAAATCCAACGGACTTGATTTTTTTTATCCTTTCAAAAATCTTTTTTTTTTATGTATCCATTTTCTGTTTTTATCCGATTTATATATATTTATGTCTCCATTGCACCTATGCTGTTTTTATCCAACTGATATATTTTTTGTACACCTTGATTACACTGATGCATTATCTTTTCCCCATGTACTTTTAAACCGTCTTTGTGATCTACATACTTAGAGATTGTGTTCGAGAAGGTTGTTGGAAATATTGACTCTATAGTTCAGAAAATTTCAATCAAAAGATAGGTCACTGCAGCTGTGACCTACTAATGGTATTTTATAATTACAATATATTCAGTCTTGACAGACTGAATATTATTGAACTTTGTCAGTTGATGCATTTTGGGTCTTTCATGTGTGATACTAATAGAGTTAGAGGCTTCTTATAGAAGTAATAGATTGTACAATTTATCAGAACAGCGATTCAAGGCCCTTGGGCCTCTTGTATGGATTAGTGACTAGTTTGAAGTTATTGGATAACTTTCTTCCCAAATAATTGCAAGTCCTCTCAGATAAAAATTGCATAAATGTTGCATCTTTGGATGTGCATAAGTAGATTATTATTTTAACATGTTAGATATGCCACTTTGCCTTACTTCAATAAAACATTCATAGAGATGAGCTCTGTAATCACTGTCTTACATTAAATTTAAAAAAAAATAAGTATTTACAAAAAAATGTTCTACGGTAGAAAGTGCAGATCATGCATTTATCTCTTGGGAATAATGAGTGCACACGCATCCATCATCATTATCATCTTCCTTGTGTAGGGCAGCAACAAACTTCCTCCACCCTTGTCTGTCTTGGGCTAGCCTTGTCAACGATCCCCAGGTCTGGTGCATTGCCTTCATCTCTCCTTCTACTGTCCTTCGCCATGATGTTCTAGGCCTCCCCCTCTTTCTTTTGCCCTCTGGTGTCCATTGCAGTGTTGTTTTAGTTGTAAATACTACCCAGGTAAATAAAGTTTTCTGACTGGCGTTGTTCCTCCCCATTGACCTTATCAGGGACAGGCAATTCCACATTAAGTTTTGTTGTCTCTCTTTTCTTTGTTCTGATGTGCAGTCCCACTTGCTGTCCCTATGTTTGCAACCTGTTGGTCTTCTCTTGGATATGCTTGTGTGTATGAGACATGTATGAGTCCAAATCCTCTAGTGTTGAAAACAGGCCCCAGTGGATCCCCCGTCTTCTGTTGTCTTGTTGCACAAGCATCCAGTTAAAGATTTATTAACAAGTTCATTGCTGGAAGGCGTAATGTCATATCTGTAGAGCATCTCTGATCAAGCAGCTCTTATCTGCATCCTTTGGGAATTAGACAAGAGCTGTTGGTCAGTTTATAGCATATGTCATTTGAAAAAAAATATGCATGAAACAAAAGTTAAAGACCTTAATTAAAATTGTTTTAATTGAGAGAATCAATTATAATTTTCGGAAAATTTTTACTTAACATGTATTTATTTACCCTCATTGAGAACAGGGAGAAGACTAATGGAAGGTCTCTCACTAAATCTTATTTTTCTTATACATAGCCATTGGTAGCAAATTGAAAGTGAAAATGTTTTGATTTTGTCCCAAATTTAATGCACGTTGAAAAACATTTTTTCAAAGTGTGTTGTAACAGAGCTCATTACTCACTCTAGTTTGCACTACAGCCATAAATATTTGATTAGAGAGAAAATAACGTCACGTTTACAGATAAATGGGCACCAATTCAAGGTTCCAAGTCATATATACAATATTTCCAACCAAAACTAAGTATTTTCGATTTTAAAAATTAAAAGAGTCAAGAGTTTTTATTGACCCTTGCTCTTTGACCCAGTTTTTAAAGTTAATGTTTATGTGTTAAATTTTTTTATTCCTACATGAAATATAATCAGAGCAGTGCCCTGTGGAGCAGTGAAACTCATTTCTTTGTCATTTTTTGCAGAAGGAGAGGAGAGATTTTGAACCCCATTCAAATATTCAGAACGATACTGAAAAATTACAGAACTATTGTTCAGATGAAGATCAAACTGGAAGTTTAGAAAGACACATCAACACAGATGTAAGTAAACAGCCATTAAGGCGTAACAGTTGGAAAGGTTCAACTAGTTCAGATCAATTACAGAGACAAATAAGTTGTCAAACCAGGGAGGAAAGTTTTAAGTGTGAAATTTTTGGAAAGGCATTGTCTGTATCAGATGACTTTGCTGTCTACATGAGGACACAAACTGGTAATGAATCTTATTGTTCCGATGCGTTTGAAAAAATGTTTAAACAAACTGGTACCTTACAAAGAAATATGAGGACACACACAGATAATAATAGTCTTTATAAATGTGATTTGTGTGAAAAACCCTTCAACCAATTTTCTGGTTTAAAAAAGCATGTGAGGATACATACAGGTGATAAACCTTATAAATGTGAAATGTGTGGAAAGTTATTTTCTGAATTAGGCAACTTGCAGAAACACATGAGGACACATACTGGTGATAAGCCTTATAAATGTGATGTATGTGAGAAGACATTCCTCCGCGTGGATGTTTTACACAACCACATGAGAATACATACAGGTGATAAATCGTATAAATGTGATGTATGTGGAAAGGCATTCAACTGGCCAGGAAACTTACTAACACACATGAAGATACACACAGGTGATAAACATTATAAATGTGATAAGTGTTGGAAGTCATTCCATCAGTCATATAACTTTAAGAGACACATGAGGACACATGCAGATGATAAACCTTATAGATGTAATATGTGTGAAAGAGCTTTCAAGGAAGCTCAGTCCTTAAAGGACCATATGATGATACATACAGGTGAAAAACCTTACAGATGTGTCGTATGTGGACAGACATTCAGCAGATCTAATAGCTTAAAAATACACATGAGGATGCATACAGGTGAAAAACCTTATAAATGTGATATATGTGGAAAAGCATTCATCTGGTCATGTCATTTAAAGAGACACATGAGGACACATACAGGTGAAAAACCTTATACATGTGATGTGTGTGGGAAGGCATTTAACCGTTCAAGTACCAAACAGAGACACATGAGGATACACACAGGAGATAATTCATATGGATGTGATGTGTGTGGACAGACATTTAGCAGACGATATATCTTAAAGAATCATATAAAGACACATCAGATGATAACCTAAAAACGAAGTGTACACAGTCAGTCATATGACATAGAAATTAACTCACCTGTTAATGTGTGGTGTCTCAAAATCAGATTCGTCAAAGAAGAAAATAAACAGACGGATATCACAAATTTCAATGTTTAACCACATTAACCAAAAACAAAAAAATACTTCAAAAGTCTAAAAAAAAAAAATTGTATTTTTTTTTTGACATCTGTATCAACATAAATAAGAATATGACCCAAGTGTGCACGGGTTGATATTGTTATGAAATTGATGGATCCATGTGCTTATGATATTTACAAAATAGGTACGAGGGGCATTTTAAAAGTCCTGAGAATAGTTTAATAAAAATGTAACCGTTTCACGGAATTTATTGAGTTTAATTTCATTGGAACGATCAGCAAAATATACACATTTAGTGACTCAACTTTGTAATGCTTATGATTTAATAACTTTGGAAATGATGTCAGAATATTGAATGTTAAGCATACTGAAAAGCACGTTTTTATACGCCCGTCTTAAGACGGGACGTATTATGTTATAGGCTTCGTGTCCGTCCGTCTGTCTGTCTGTCTGTTAGCTTTTTCGTTTCCGGCTCATAACTTTAATACTACTAGGCCTAGGATTATCAAACTTTGTCATCTGATGCATCTTGGGTAGAAGGTGTGTCGCGCACAAAATGTAGGTCGCTCTGACCTTTAATTAAGAAGTTATAGCCAAATATGGAAAAATCCTTTCCGGCCCATAACTAGAAAACCATAAGACCTACAATCATCAAACTTGGCCAATTTATGCTTCTTAGGTAGAAGGTGTGTCGCGACCTATTTCAAGGTCACTGTGACCTTTAATTTAAGTGATTTTTTTAAAAAAAAATGTGTCTTTTTACTATTCATTTACACATCCCAAATAATGTAAGAGTCTTGCACTGTTCTTATTAAAAAAGCATTAAATCAAGAAAATACTTATTTTTTCTAAGCATATACTTGACAGCAATCTATAACAAATATAATGTATGTCAGAGAAATCCTGCCTCTCCCATGAGTGTAATTATCAAGCACTGGTCAAGAAGAATTTTGATAACAGAAAATTGCATGTCAAATTAGAGAGAAATTAATGGGTTTTGAGTGCAAGGAGCCAACTGACAGAGCATTGCTGTTATCTATATTCCTTTGAGTATTGGGCAAATGGGTAAGCCTGTTTGATTAAAAATAGCTTTTGTTGACTAGCTGAAGTTTTAAAATGAATTTGATGAAAAGTAATTAAAACTAATTTGATTTGCATAATAGACTAATCTGATATTATGTAATATTATTAATTTAAAAACTAATTTTATGGGGTGGGATGGAATCAGCATGTCCATATGAATTACATATTAAAACCTGTCGGACATTAAATCTCAACCAAAAAAAAAAAAAAAAATCTTTGAGTATTTTATATGTTTTTAAAAAAAAATTATAGTAGATAGTGCAGACCCATTCATCTCTTGGTAGTAAAGAGTAGACAAGCATTCAGTTAAAGATTAATTAATGAGTTCAATTTTGGAAGGCTAGCTGTCTCAGTCGCTCTGATTAAGCTGTACCCTTTGGGGATTAGACAGAGGAACTGTTGGTCATTTGATGGCCAGCATTTTCTTTTCAAAATTAATTTGGTATAGATTAAGTTGTTAAGACTAATTTGGTGATGGGCATTTGACAAGGTCTAACACAACCAGCACAGAAATCTATCGGTGATGTAATATTTATTATAATTGATGCCTACATCACAGGGGATGGATAAATATTTTAAGGAATGGAAAAATCATCAAAATCTTAGAATCAAGGTTGATGTGATTTTCTTGCACCTAAACTGTTCAAGAAAATTGTGTAATTTTTTGACGGGCGTATCATGCTGTGGCGCGGCACTTTATTAATCTACATGTGACAATCGCAATCGGAAAAGTGTTGCAAAAGGCTTATTTGAAAAAAAAAAATTCAAAGAAAATTTTGATTTGCAAAGAAGTAGAGTAAGACTTTGGTTCTGTTTATCAGCAAATTCATATTTCATGTTTTGTTTACTGGTACGGTTAATATGTCCTGTTGTGTCATCATAGACAATCATTTTAGATTTTTATTTACATGATACAGCTGTATTTTCGGTCTTTCATATATCTCCCCATTGTATGGAATGAATCATAGCCTGTATAAAACTGAGTACATTGATTCAGTTTTCTGCAAATATATTTTGATAAAAAGTGCTCTTACTGTTTATGAATAAAATGTACAAAGTCTCACTCACTGCTGTTTTATACTTTTGCCTCCAAACAATGAATGAAAAACAGACGAGTAGAAATCTTATTTTTTTCCATGCATTAATATTTTCGGATATGTTAAGAAAAACGAGTTTACAAATGCACCGGCGCCATTTTAGATTTTACAAGAAAATACGGGGCACACTTAACTAACTTCTCTTGAGCCTTCATCGATCTCATGCGTTTGGATAAAACACCTGACGAATTTTTGCCATCAAATTTTGTAACACGATCGCATATTCATCTTTGATTGTCAGCATCTTCAAATGCTACCATGATTAAAAATATTGTATTATTCATTTATTAGGTACAAAATATGGTCGATATATTTTGAATACCTTAAAGTCGATAATGATCATTTTATTGCAAAAAGAATGTGACCTAACTTTGTGCAAAAAAACCATTTGAGCATAGACAGTGCATTGAGCTGTATATATGTTGGCATACAGTCTGTCAAATGACATGGAAATGAACATCAATGAACGACCTGCTAATGTGAAGGTTCATCAAAGAAGAAATGAAGAGATGGATAACACAATTTTTAATATTAAATCACATTTACCAAAAAAGAAAAAAAAAGAAACTATGATGATGTTTTAAAGCATTGATTAGAGAGAAAATTGCGTCATGTTTTATTGATTCATGGTTAGCAAGGGGCCAAGTAAGGAATACAGTCTTTTCAACCTAAACTGAGCAGTTTCGATTTTAAGAAATTCACATGGTAAAAGAAGTCCTTATTTACCCTTGTTCTTTAACCCATTTTTTAAAATTAAAAAACAACTATTACCTTGAATCAGTATAACTTAAGGAGGCTGGGGGTCAACAATTTAACCACAAATTAACCACCAGATTGAACTTATTTTTTTTAGATACGGTATCTTAAGCCAACAACTTTCATTTGGCAAAGAAAAAAATCATACATTTTAGTTTTAATATTGATCACTTTTGTATATCTTTATATGGAGCTCTTCTTTTATAAGAGATTGAAATAGTCTAAAAATGGCTGCCACCCCCAGCCTCTTTAATCTTTATTTGTTTAACTTTTTATCCTTACAATAAACATAATCAGAACAGTGCCTAATGGAGAATTAAAACTGATTTCTTTGTCATATTTGCAGAAGGAAAGGAGCGATTTCGAACCCCATTCAAATATTCAGAAAGATACTGAAAAATTACAGAACTATTGTGCAGACGAAGATCAGACAGGAAATTCCGAAAGACACATCAACACACATGTAAGTAAAAAGCCATTAAAGTGTAACAGTTGGAAAGCTTCAACTAGTTCAGATCACTTACAGGGACAAATAAGTTCTCAAACCAGGAAGGAGAGTTTTAAGTGTGAATTTTGTGGGAAAGCATTATCTGTATCAGATGACTTTGCTGTCTACATGAGGACACAAACTGGTAATGTATCTTATTGTTGTAATGCATGTGAAAAAACTTGGAACCAATCAGGTGCCTTACAGAGAAATACGAGGATACACACAGATAAAGCACTTTATAAATGTGATGTATTTGAGAAGTCATTCAGTGAGTCACAAAACTTGCAGACACACATGAATACACACACAGCTGAAAAGCCTTATAAATGTGAAGTGTGTGAGAAGACATTCAGTTGGCCAGGAAATCTAAAGAGTCACATGAGGACACATACTGGTGAAAAACCATACAAATGTGATGTGTGTGGGAAGGAATTCAACCAGTTACGGCAATTACAGAATCACATGAGGACACATACTGGGGAAAAACCTTACAAATGTGATGTGTGTGGGAAGGCTTTCAACCAGTTACAGCACTTACAGGATCACATGAGGACACATACTGGGGAAAAACCTTATAAATGTGATGTGTGTGAGAAGGCTTTCAAGCAGTCACAGAACTTACGGAGTCACATGAAGACACATACTGGTGTAAAACCTACAAATGTGATGTGTGTGAAAGGAGTTTTTCTGGAGCAAAAGCCCTACAGGACCATATGATGATACATACAGGTGAAAAACCTCACAAATGTTATGTGTGTAGGAAGGCATTCACTCGTTCAAGGGACTTGCAGACTCACACGAGGACACATAGAGGTGAAAAACCATATACATGTGATGTGTGTGGGAAGGCATTCATTCGTTCAAGTGACTTACAGAGTCACAGGAGGATATTACATTCAGAGGATAAACCTTATAAATGTAATATGTGTGGAAAGGCATTCACTCGTTCAGGTAACTTACAGAATCACATGAAGGTCCATACAGGAGAAAAACCTTATACATGTGATGTGTGTGGGAAGGCTTTCAAACAATCAGGTGAATTACAGAAACACATGAGGATACATACAGTTGATAAGCCTTATAAATGTGATGTTTGCCAGAAGGCATTTAACCATTCAAGTAATTTATTGAATCACATGAGGAAACATACAGGTGAAAAACCTTACAAATGTGATGTGTGTGAGAAGACATTCACTCAGTCAAACATCTTACAAGTCACAAGAGGACACATACTGGTGAAAAACCTTATACACATGATGTGTGTGGAAAGGCATTTTACCGTTCAAGTTCCAAACTTAGACACATGAGGATGCATACAGGTGAAAAAACTTATGAATGTGGTGTATGTGGACAAGCATTCGGCAGATTAGATACCTTACAAAAGCACATGAGGATTCATATAGGTAATAACATATAAACGAAGTGTATAGAAGATGGTATAGTCAGTCAAAATGACATGTAAATGAACATCAGTGATATACCTATTAATGTGAGCTGTCTCCAAATCAGATTTATCAAAGAAGAAAATAAGTGACAAATAACAACTTGTTAAAAAAATCCTTAATAAAATCTGAATTATTTTTGACATTATCTTTATAACCATTAAGTAGACTTCGACCTGTATTGCCTATCGGCTTAGCAAAGAATGGGTTAAAATCCCAGTTAGCTATAAATCAAGTCATGAGGTGGAATTACATTGGAGCTATCGAAAATTTTACCTTTCCAAGCAAATTTCATATAAGAAATTAAAATTTTAATTATAAATTATGTACGAAGGTTTCTTTGCACCAGGAGACATAGTTACATGAAAAACAAAGAAAAAAAAAACTTGTGTTGAGTCTTATATCTGGGATGCTTGTGAAAATATGTTTAGCCAATAAGTTAGCTTACAGAAAAATATGGGGACACATACTGGTAAAACATGTTATTAATGTGATTTGTGTGAATAAAAAAGCTTTCAAGCGATTTTATAACTAAAGGGTACAAACCGATTATAAAATCTCGTAAAAATGATGTGTATGGAAGGTGTTCAGCATTTTTAGCCCACCTCGACGAAGTCGATTTAGGGTTAGACGACACGTTCCTTAAATACATGTCTAGCATCTCTTGGTATTATATCAAAAAAAGTTCATATTTTTCATTCTCTCCTAATTTTCCCATTGTTTTCAAAATTTTTTTAATTATAAGTACACCAAAAAATTGTGTTATGGCCATTTAGAATATTTACCATTTAGGTTATATAAGAAATTTGACCCTATCGTATCTTGGCGAAATGCCTGGTAAGGTACCCTAGTTTTTTTGTGAGGAAACTTTATTAAGTATCTATACTTCAATGACAAATTCTTAGGAAAAATTGTATAATATTGAGGAACGTGTCATCTGACCTTAAGCTTGTGCTGTGGTGTGCCAGGTTTCAGTTTTAGGAGCAAGTCAATTCCCAAGTAACTCGAAGCCTTACCCAGACTAAACTTGCATTGATGCTGCATCTATGGATGGGCACTACCAGACTTGCTTTGGATGCTGGATCTGACCTTCATTTTTGAGCTGAGCGAGCAGGTTAATATTTTAGAGCAGGTCCATTTTCAAGAAACTATAAGCCCTACCCAGACCAAAATTGCATGAATGATCAGATGCATCTATGGATGGACACTACTAGACTTGCTTCGGATGCTGATTTTGGCCTACATTTTTAATATATTCGATCAGTGCTTACTATTAATGCAAGATATATTACTGTAGTCAGCGGTGACTCACACAAATTGTTCCGACGAAAATAGTTCCAACATTAATAAGTAGATACAACATAATTGTTCATGATAAGAATAATGTTGTGTATGTCATACGTAAAAGAAACCAAAATTAATGTAAATATTTCCTCCAAAGATCACTTTCCCCCTAAATGCAAATAAAAAATGTTAATATTCCTACGCTCGCTCCCTCCTCAGCTTTTTCTTTTAACATGTTTGATAACAGAGAATATATAGGTCATTCTTCGGTTGATATTTTTTAACTGAATATAGTTATTATACTTATATCAACAACTGTAGTAAAATCATGTTAATTGTTCGTTAATTATGATATAGTTTCATCTAAGAGGAAAAAAAATAATCATTCTGTGTGTGTAGTATATTAAATGACGGAATTTTCAATCCCTGAGCAGATTCCTGCACGTGTGTAGACAAACTACACATCGGGAAAGTACCTGAAAATGTGAAAAAAAACCCGGACTGGCCGGGGATTTCTATTCTGACAGTCGTTTAATTTTTATGAATCAGAATTTGTATTCATGTGATCTATTATAAAAAAAGTTTTGTCTGCCATCGTAACTTCTGTGTTCGCGGGAGTCCGTTTGACAACTCCATCGCACGTGTGTATAGACCAAGGCTAACTTGTCTTGCGGACATGGGTATGTGTACAGACTTATCGAGGGAAGAAATAATTTGTTCAAAAGTCCCCACGAAGTAAATGTACGTCACCATCCCCACCCACTTTTTGTGAAAATGTGAAAATTTAAAAAATCTTTAATTGAAGTTTATCCGTTCAAAACTTCATACAGTGTTATGGATATGTTCTTGTTTCATTTTCTTGAAGAATAAAAGCAACGAATATACATAATTTACTAATAAATTGATTTTGGGGGAGAGGTAAAAGTTTAAATGTACTTGGGTCTTGGCTTAGAATTATATATATACCCTCGTCGATAAGTAAGGCCGTAAAAAGATTTTTTTTTACATTTAATAAGGTACATGTACATGTATACATGCACTACATACGTAATGTAATCTTTCGAACGTTGTCATCAACACTTCGGTTATCAATGATTTATGTTCTTATATAATCCTTGCATTAATAAAATATAAGTGGCTTTCCCGGCAACAAAATGCTTCTGATAATTTCCAACCATATTTTGCTCGTATTTTCCAAAATATTGTTTTTATTGTATTATGATTTATATAACATCATTTGTTGTAAAACTATTTAATCAAATACCCGTACATTACAATATTTATAATTAATTCTTGATAAAAGCAATGTAGCAAAAGGGACATAATGTTCTAGAAATTTCCGTCAATTTTGAGATCTGTGATTGACGAAAATAATTTGCACATATTGCTTTTTAATCTGTTACGACAACTTATTTCTTTTATATCAATTAAATCAAGTTTTGATTGAATAATTCAGTAATGACATTTTATGAAATAAATAATCGATTGTTTTTTGTCAGTTTCATTAAAATTTGCCAGTAGCTTAGATCCGCCAACCGGAAACGCCACAATACTCACGTTGATGCTATTTCATGGCTGTTTTCAGAAAATTGATGTAGACTTTTAATTTTATATACGATACTTACTAACCGAGTGAAATCTAAATATAGTTTACGGACATCATCTCATACGTAGTGTAGTATTAGAGGAGTAAGTAAGAACTCTTGTGCACCTATTTCAGAGTTTATTGGCAAAATTTAATAATTTATATGTATAGATGTTAATCCCCAATGAACTTTAAAGGTACTTGGACACAGATTTGAAGTCAATGTTTTTTCTATAATATTACGACTTATATATTTTAATATCATATCACACAAAAATTAATAAAAAATCTTATTTCATTTAAAAGTTATTAAAACTTCAAATTATTCGACGGGTTTGATTGTCACATTCAAGTACCAAACATAGACACACCAGGATACACACAGGAGATAAACCATATAAATGTGATGTTTGTGGACAGACATTTAGCAGATTAGATGTCTTAAAAACACACATTAGGATTCATACAGCTGATAACATATAAACGAAGTATACCACTAAATGCATTTTCTAAGTTCACATGTTTCTGCACAAATTACGGTCATGTTGTTATCATGCAAAATTGTGGAACGAAGCAACAAAATATATTTCAAAAATGATTTCTAACTTACTTTTAAGTTTATTTAATTAACTTCAAACATTATTCACACATAATTATTGGTAGAATTTTGTTATATTCTTGGCTAGTGGATTGGGATAGTTTTCAAATGGGTTTTTATGGTTTCTCGTCCAATGTAGCTGTCTATGTACCTGTTTTCATTAAGAGTCGCAAACACTCTGCTCACTTATATGAAATTTTCCTTTCAATTTTATGATTTTTCAAATGTATATTCTGAATAAAAAGAACAAAGAATTATAGCAGGGCTTGTAGGCAAAATTTGACAAAAAAGGCACTTAGAGTTGACAAATTTATAAAGGAATAATAGACATTCGTGTCATTAAGAGTCATTTCTCTTATCAGAGTATCAATGTACCTTAAAGCTGTTACTTGCCTTGCATTGACCCAAAACAGCGCAAATCACGTAACAAAAACACACAATTTAAACAAAAGCCTCTTAATACCTCATATTAATTTTATTATAAAAATAGTTTTCTACTTAAAACAATTAATGTCCTAATCTTTTTAACCTGTGCATAAAATATAAGAAAAATAGGCTCTGAATAGACCAGGAATGTATTGTATATGACAAATTGAATGAAGAATGTTTTCACGAAATGAAAATTCCAGTTTAGAAAAATTTCGTATAAAAAGTCCAATTTCAAGAGTTATCTTTCCTAATTAAAGACTTGAAACATTTAAACACTAAGGAACGTTTGAACATTATATCTAAAATTCAGAACAAAGCTTTGAATGTCCAGAGTATATATGTAAATATTTTCATTTCCAATTTTTTCTCAATGATAAACACTACGAAAGTGAATCTTGTTAATTTTTCTGTGATTTCTGTGGCATTTTAATTTCTTTGTTGAAATGCTACTGAAAGGTCAAATCTCAACCTGCATGTATAAATCATCCTGGCGTATAAATACACTAAAGAAAAATATCTTTTTTATTTAATTGTTTACTTAGTAATGAGATATGATATATCTTATAACAAAAAAATAAATAAGGAATCATCTTTGGATCAAAAGCAAGTCACCAGTTCAACGCTGTCCACTATCACCGAGGCCTCGCAAAACCAAGAAATCTACTTCCGTTAAGATGGTAAACAGCCTATCTCAACCCCGTAGAGAAATTGCCATATAGATCTGCACGACATCATCTGATACAGATATCTCCCTCAGTCATTACCATCCGACTTCTCATGCATCGCAACTTCTTCTGTTATTTTAACATCCACATAAATCTGTTTCCTGACCATGCTGACCAACCACCATTTCATCAACTGTGACATTGCATTCAATATGACGGCGGAGTGACCTAGGGTGTATACCTGTTTTTTTGGCTTCCGACAACCTAAAAATAGGTCACATATATAATTCAAAGTTAACAATAT